CTATACTTTTTATACAAATTAATGAGAAGTTATGAAAAAATATGTTTCAGTTGCTTTCTTGTTAGTATCATTTCTAAATTTAATTAACGATGCTATCTTTCCAATTCTATATTTCTGTTAAATAACACCCCTGACATTACACAAGTATTTTCATTGAAAATAATAATTAATATTCTAAATGGAATAACGCGGGTTTTACGTAAAATATTTTTAAATCTCGTTTATTTTTCTTTACGAATTTAACCGAACGTTTCGCGAACACGCACCATATGTATAATATATAATACTTACATACAAATTCAAAATTACATATGTATGAATGTATGAATGTATGTATATAGTTATTGCATACGTACGAAAAGGAAATGTTTTTATATACTCCAAGCTATTATTTCAGGAAGGCAAAGTGCGAAAGGTGCTAAGTATCGAAATTCAAAGAAAATATCATTTTCACGCGTTCGTTACTTATACATATATATATATATTACATTTTTAATTGCAATTTTATTTATTTAAAAAGATTCAAAAATTACACGTTCATTCTTTCTTTCATTCTTTATCTCTCTCCCTCCCTCTTTCTTTCTTTCTGTCACACTTTTCCTACATTTGAATTTTTAGTAACTTTGGTAAGACGCTCTCAGTGTTGTTCTCAATTACTTTAAACATCTCTTTGACACTTAGAACCTTTCTTCATCTTTGTAAATGTCAATGTAATTAATATAATAACAAGGCAATGATAATAATTATTCTGCATACAAATTACATTACCTTTTTTTCATTTATATGTAATATATGTACATAAAGGATATATTTTTCTTAGATGTTATGCATTTTATTTATATAATGTATATATGCAAACGTGTGTTCGAGACGAGAAGTTAATATACAATAGGGTTTTTCGTCGAAATGGTATTAAACACGTTCCATTCATATACCTACTACCTTCTCAACGTCGATAAGGGCTTCTTTTTTGTTCTTTTTTTTTTTTTTTTTATCTTTTTTTTTTCTTCCGTTGCTTTTTCTCTTTCACGCTTACGTTTACGCATTGAATAAAAATAAATATTTTTCGATTGTGTT